GTCAGAATTTTTAGGGGAAAGAGGGAGCAAAAGTAAGAATTTTTAGGGGGGAGGGGGGTAAAAGTAAGAATTTATAGGGGAAAGGGGGGTAAAAGTAAAATTTTTAGGGGGAAAGGGGGTAAAAGTAAGAATTTTTAGGGGAAAGGGGGGTAAAAGTAATAATTATTAGGGGGAAGGGGGGTAAAAGTAAGAATTTTTAGGGGAAAGGGAGGTAAAAGTAAGAATTTTTAGGGAGAAAGGGGGTAAAAGTAAGAATTTACAGTGGAAAGGGGGGTAAAAGTCAGAATTTTCAGGGGGAAGGGGGGTAAAAGTAAGAATTTTCAGGGGGAAGGGGGGTAAAAGTAAGAATTTTTAGGGAAAAAGGGGGCAAAAGTAAGAATTTTTAGGGGAAAGAGGCGTAAAAGTAAGAATTTTTAGGGGGAAGGGTGTAAAAATAAGGATTTTTAGGGGGAAGGGCGTAATGCATAGGATCAAGGTGCTGAAAGGGGTAATAAAAACACAAAAAAGCAAAGATAAAACAGTTTCTTCAACACTGGAACTAAAAAAACAAACAAATTAACTTTCAACCCTTTATGCCTAATGGTGCTCAGTAAAATCCCTTAAATTTTATTTTGCAAAGTTGTACATTTTTACTTTTTAAAACGTTCTATCATGTAAAGTCCTTGAAATATCATCATGTAAAGTCCTTGAAATATCATCATGTAAAGTCCTTGAAATTTCATCATGTAAAGTCCTTGAAATATCATCATGTAAAGTCCTTGAAATATCATCATGTAAAGTCCTTGAAATAGCATCATGTAAAGTCCTTGAAATTTCATCATGTAAAGTCCTTGAAATTTCATCATGTAATGTCCTTAAAATATCATCATGTAAAGTCCTTGAAATTTCGTCATGTAAAGTCCTTGAAATATCATAATGTAAAGTCCTTGAAATTTCATCATGTAAAGTCCTTGAAATATCATCATGTAAAGTCCTTGAAATTTCATCATGTAAAGTCCTTGAAATTTCATCATGTAAAGTCCTTGAAATATCATCATGTAAAGTCTTTGAAATGTCACTTGGTAAAGTTAGTGAAATGTCACATGGTAAAGTCCTTGAAATTTCACTTGGTAAAATCTTAGAAATTTCATCATGTAAAGTCCTTGAAATGTCACTTGGTAAAGTCCTTGAAATTTCATCATGTAAAGTCCTTGAAATTTCATCATGTAAATTCCTTGAAATGACACTTGGTAAAGTCCTTGAAATGTCACATGGTAAAGTCCTTGAAATTCACATGGTAAAATCCTAGAAATTTCATCATGTTAAGTCTTTGAAATGCAACTTTGGTTAGGTCCTTGAAATTTCATATTATAAAATCTTTAAAAGTGCATCAACTGCATCAATGAAAATTGATTAATTTCAGATAACGAACCTTCAGAAACCAATTGAGATAAAGAGTCGAAGTATGAATGATGAAGATTGTGAACTATTAGGTTGTGAACATGCTAGATTCGGCCTGAGTTTTACTAAACTTGGTGATATCAATATAGACGGATATGAAGGTAAGTCTTAATGATTGCCTGTCTTACTTTAGACCTCTGGAGAGTGACAGTTTTTATGGTACTGATACTTTTATTATAGTCTTGCAAAGACATTTTATGGACACCTAGATATGATTAAAAACACAAATACAAACTGTCCAATCTGTTTTGAGGCTGAATGAACACGATGAAATTGTGTAATATATTGACATGGAAAACCAAGACTATTGATTATGCTTCGAAGTGCTTTGGTATTGAGATTATTGTAGGCTATATATATATCTTTTCTACCGCACGTGTAGGCACTTGGCGGCCATCTTACCTACTGTAAACATGTATTAAACTTATAGTATAGAACTCACGGTGTTCTTAATTCAATACATTAGAAAATGCCTGAGCTGGGGGCCAAAAATGATAGGTGTCTCTATGAGGCGAGGCCTGATGGACCTAAGCCCCTTGAGGCTAGGGGTCATGATGCCCTCTAAAGCAAATGGATTTCAGGAGGTCGGAGATGAATTTTGAACATTCAGAGGGCTTAATTTTCATTTCAAATAAGACCTATCACAGGCCCGATGAGGAGGCCTTTGCCTGATTCCCCAAGATTTTTAACCTTATGATTTATTTTGAACAGATTTTGCTGTGGGTGCCCCTTATGAGGGAAACGGAGCCGTGTATATTTATCATGGTAATAAAGACGCTCAATTTGATACATACGCTCAGGTGATTATTATAATTTCTTATAAATAATACATTAGGATAAGTTATTCTTCTAGATACATTTACAACCAGCTAGAACTTTAGCCACCTGTATCACTTTTAACAAAGAATATCAGACTTAGGGTTCATCTATCATAAGTCAAAACCTACCGTATTGATAGGTAGAAGTGACCTTTTTCAACTAAGAAGCTCATAATTCATAATGGAGTGGAAAACAGAGTCCAAAGGAATATTAAATCATTGCTTTAATTGTAAACTTACTTAACATCAGATTTTTATGCTGAAAAGTGATCAAGGTACATGGAACTAAATCTTAATTCATTTGTGATTCAGCCATATTTAAGCCCATGTATATGCAGAATATTTTAAGATGGCGGCTAATTTCAAATGATTTTTTCTCTCAGAGATTAACAGCAGAGAATGTTGCATCACCTGGTTTAAAATCTTTTGGTTCGTCACTATCTGGTGGCCTTGACCTTGATGACAATGGTTACCCAGATCTGCTGGTTGGATCGTTTGAATCTGGGGAGGTGGCGCTGATTAGAACTCGACCAATCATCAACCTGATGAAAGAAGTAACACTGGAGCCACCCATCATTGATTTGGAACAGGATCCATTTTGTAGTTTTGATGGCGAACTGAGACACTGTTTCCAGATTGAGATTTGTTTACAATTTACTGCAGAGCCTGCAGAGACGTAAGTTTTCATATCGTAGGTGTCCGCTTGAAACCTCTTATATGCCATATTTGGTCATTTTGACTTTTTGATACCGTTCGAAAGCTCGTAACAGCGCGGATCTTGTGATCAAAACCTCGTATTCTTAGCTTGATTGTAAATAACTCAAAAAGCACTAATTAAATAACACGTATATAAACAGTCAGATTTAAAACCTTGTAAAATATATTATTATACGAGGTTCAATGTTCCTTTTCTGCTGATGAAAATGAAAAACCTCGTATACTGTATTATTATACGAGTTTTTGGTTCAATATGGAGAACTCAAATTGTTATACAAGGTTTATATTTTCAAAGAATGAAAACCACGTACAGCGGTAAAAAAATAATAAAAAAGATTTTAACAAAATATACGTACAAATAGTTTTTTGTGTTTTTCTCGAAAGTAATTCCGCATCATATATCATTATACGAGGTTTCAAGCGATCACCCACGATATTTGTATCCATGTTATAAAAATCAAGAAGGCTATTTGCTGACTAAAGGTATAGACAGGTGCAAACGGAAGTTAAATAGATTGTATAAATAATAACATGTATATATCAAATTTGGTAATGGGTGAGCATCCACAGGAGATATCAAGGGATAAATGATGTCTGACTTGAATTCCTTTCAAGATCTTTAATAATTAGTAGTATTAACATAGGGCTACTGTATCTTGATTGAGATAAAAATTAAAAACTAAGTCCAAAATTTGATATTGCAGGTTTCAGAATCGCCCGAAGATCAATTATCGTATTGAAGCAGAGAAGAATCGTGGTGTGAGAATCAACAGATTAGAATTAAAAGGAGCCAATGACGACTCTAAGCGTATTATAACACGAAGCATGCAGCTCCGGCGACAAGGTCTAGACGGTTCTCCCAGTAAAAAAGTCTGTAAGCAAGAAATCGCTTATCTTAAGGTATGGTTGGCCTTGCTTTTGACAAACTGAAGTTTGAAATATCTTTTTGTCACTTGATTGGTGAGTTCTGAAATGGATCTGTCTGTTTTGATGTCAGGTATCAATCTAACAGTAAAGAATCGATAGGTCACAGTCTTAATTTCCCTTTCTTAATCTGCCATTTTGAATTCTGTTAGGCCATGTACTGTGGTTCTAAAATGTGCTCAAAAATAACTTTTTGTAGCACAACCTGGAAATTATTTTCTCTCCCCTGGAATATATTCATATATGTTATAGCTAACCAAAAAACAAAGTTCCCACTTTCAGAAAGTGCCAAAACTCCATATTTCAGCCTTTAAAGATGCACATTTTGGTTTAATTTCTATGAACTTTAATGAGCTACAAAAATGTTGTGTATTGACTTCAATAACCTTTTTTATATAACTTGTTCATTCAAAAAAAAAACTAGTTGCTGTTCTTTGTACAAATTTATAGTAATTTTACTGTGTAATTGTGTGTTTTAGGATAATTTTGCTGATAAGTTGAACCCACTAGAGTTAACATTAGAGTATAGCCTAGACAATGTAGATTTTAATAAACCTGCACCAGGAGATCCACCTATAGACATCAATGATTACCCTATATTAGCTACAGAGGCTTCCGATAAAAAGGGAGAGGTCGTCACCATGACAGCAAAGGTATGTCAAAGTTTTTTTTTTTGCAGGGGTCAGATTATTCAAAAAGGGTTCAGTCATGTGATTGAGACAAAAATAGTCCGAAGTTCATTTAGCAATTTATTACACCAAATTTTAGTTTTTGTTAAATTTTGTTTCTCAATAATGGTAGCAATTTAAAATGTTCTAGTAGTAGAAAACCTTCTCAAAGATCTTGCCAGTGACTTTAGTTATAAATGTTATAGAGTTTCTGTATATTTCTAGATTTGACAAAAAATTCTCACAAAAATATGCAATTTGATTCACAGATCGTCATGATTAATTTTAAGTTTGGCTAATCATAGGAAATATTGGGTGGCAAAAGCGCTCATTTGATACCGTTTAAATTGAACACTGCCCTGGTCAAACTCCATTTTTCTTTCATTTGGGTTGGAGAGGTTGACCTAGTAAAATTAAGGCCTCACATCAACTGCAAAGCAAAGGCACTGAAAAGCATCTATTTGAAAACAAAAAAAAGTATGCTTAAGCTAAGATTCCATATACACGTCATGCGGATCCGTCATGCGTCATCCGTCATGCGTCATCCGTCATGCGTTAAAAATCAAAATGGTTGGTTTAAGAGGGTATGATTCCATATATGCGGATGCGGTATCCGTCAAATGGTCTCCGTCATTCCTTTCCGCGCGGAGATCTCCCAAATGTGACATATTTTGTGGGGATTCCCTGTCTTTTTTATGCAACAAAGCATCCATCTGTCTAGAAGTCTGTGCGTCAAAAGAAAGATAATGCATACGTTTAACGAATCATATTTGACAGATAAGCAAGGGCCATTTATGTCCGCATGACGTATCCACATGACGCGTAAATCCTGCTTCTCCTTCAAAATTTTCACTAACCCAGTATTTATAAGCGACACATATAATAATTATACTCATATTAATTATTATATTTATATTTTATAATTATGGATGTAAAACTCCATTCTATTTGGTTTCAGGTTGACTTTGTAAAGGAATGTGGAGATGACAATATTTGTAAAAGTAATCTACAATTTATGGCGAAATTGAATATTTTAAAGTGAGTAATATTTGGATTTGCTTCAACTAATGGATAACTTACTTTAACTTAAAGGCCATGGTTTGACATTTTCGGTGTTGATTTGGGTATAATATACAGAACTGCTCGAACATTTCACAATTCCTTCATCAAAGTAGAAATTTCAGTTTCTCTTTCTATATGGCTGGACATTGCACACTATTACTGATTAGCTTAACTAAATAAATATACCTGTTTCTGAGACTAATGCCCCGTTCGATACCTCTCATGAAAATAGTGTTTACAACTTTTTTGAAGTTCAAAAATCGTGCGCTAAAATGGAGACTATTCAGACGATATTCACGACTTCATAACTAAAATAATTGACAAAATTATATCAGCGGCATTGATATATTTTATATTCCATTTCCAAGCTATTTATTAACATGTAGTGGTATTTATGTCATGACGACAGTAAAAAAAAATTGTCAGAAGAATTTAAATAAAAAATTAACTTGACCAAAATGAAAGTTGTGGCCATTTTATACGGGTCGAGTTGAAGGTCGGAGAAGTCGTGAAAATGGGTGTCGATATTTTTTCTCCATTTTCACGACTTCTATAGTAGTAAATACGAGATTTAAACCCACTATCGAACGGAAATTAACAACATTGCCCCTGAGAGGTATAAAATGAGGCATAAGGTACGACTTGTGAAACAGATGAAGAAAATGGCCCGTTTAGCAGAAATGTCAATTTTCCTATTTTCAACTGATATTTTTCGTATAGCGCAAAGGGCAATGGTTTTGTTCCGTTTTTTTTATTAGCTTTTATTTTTAATATAGCCACTTCAGTCAGGATCTAACGATAGCCCCATTGGACATAATAAACACCACGTCACAAAATGCCAGCGCTTGATAGGGGAGAAATTTGATTGGCTAAAGACTTCATCGAGTTAGGTCTAAATGATTATTTGACTAAGTTAATCAAGAGGGCTGTCATTAGACCCTTACTGAAGTGGCTATATTAAAAATAAAAGCTAATAAAAAACAGAACGAAAGTTTGGTCTAATTTTTATGTAATCGTTACATATTGAATTGTCTTTGACTGATGTCTGGTTACTGTTTTATTTAAGAGATTCCGATGATAACTATGTATTGAGTACAGGAGAACAGAGTTCTATAGAATTAGAATTGGAGATTAGAAATATTGGTGAAGCAGCCTATTTAACTCAGATCTATATCACCAAACCAGAATCTTTATATTATAGACGTTCTGACGTACTTAATGGCTCCACTTTCGTAAGTATTGTATTGTCGTTCTAGAAAGACCTAAATGAAGGTCCTGTGTTCATGGGCGCAGACCACTTGGGGACAGGGGGACACGACGACACGTCTGGAAATGAATTCACGCCTACTGTCTGATCCCTTTTGAATAAATCTTGCGTACGCCACTGGAATCCATATAGAATCCAGCACTGACCGACAGCGCTATAAAATGCCTGACAGGCATCACAAAAGATGCTGTAAATCTTTGCGATCTTATACTGGGGAGCCGTGGTTGCTCAGTGAGTTAGACGCTTGCTCGCTAACCTGAAGGTCCCGGGTTCAATCCCGGCATAGGTCGAGCTAATACCTTTGGATTTTTCAACCCAGTTTCCCCCTGTCAGTGATGCAGGTAAGAGGGACTGACATGGAAAAAGTGTCTAGTCGTTCGGATGGGACAATAAACCGAGGCCCCGTGTGCTACAGGCTGTGCACGTTAAAGATCCCTTGATAGTTGGAAATTGAAAAAGAGCAGGCTAATGTCGCTGTCCTGGCTAAATTTCCCTCATTGCACTCTGCATGGCGTTGTCCGTCTTCATTAGCCCACATGGTGCAGAAGAGCAGGATGTAAAACTCCATTTCATTTCATTTTTTAAATCTTATACTGCTGTGTATTTAATTTCAGAATACAAATGTAAAATGTCAGCCTGATACTGGAAATAAAACATTAATAACATGTGAAGAGATAGGAAATCCCCTCCCCCAGGATAAAACAGTTATTTTTAAGATTAAAATGGATGCCCACGATCTAGAGGCTTCACGTGATGTACTTGAACTTGTTGTCTGGGTAAACACGTAAGTTAAATTTTTTATTTTATTGACACAATTTGCACCATTAAAATTTTCAATCAGACGTCTGTGGATCCTGTGATTTCAATTAAAACTACGTGTTTGATGATGTCACTAATCACAAAATATGCTTTATCACATAAGGCCCTTTGGGATTAGTGATGTCATCAAACACTTAGATTAATTGGAATCGCAGAAACCACAAATGTCTGATTGATGCCATCACTAATCACAAAATATTCTTTACCACATAATGCCCTTTGGGATTAGTGTCGTCATCAAACACTTAGTTTAATTGGAAACGCAGAAACCACAAATGTCTGATTGATGCCGTCACTAATCACAAAATATGCTTTTATCACATAAGGCCCTTTGGGATTAGTGTCGTCATCAAACACTTAGTTTTAGTGGAAACGCAGGAACCACAAATGTCTGATTGAAAATTGGAATGGTGAAAATTGATGACATCAGTGTTTCCTTTACACATAAAAAATTTATAAAAAAAACTCTTTACAATCTCTTTAATGAAATAACAAAATTGACTTCACAGTATTTACCAAAATCCATTTTCTTTTATGTTCTGTTTTATAATTTTAGATCCAGTACAGAATTAACGAAAGAGAATGATCTGATAAAACTACCATTCCGAGTTATAAATAGAGCCGATATTGGTGTTATTGGGTATGTTTTATCCCGTTTTTTCACTAATATTTTACTTGATCTGAATCTAGGATGAATGCCAGTCGTGTGAATTTTATTGATGAAGTCATTATCATGCAGTGTGCAATGAGATGAAATTTGTCTACTATATTGATTTACACTTTATCATTCAAAACAACTAGACACTTTTCATGTCATCCCTCTTAACCTGCATCAGACCCTAAGGGAAAATGGGCATGCATTTAAACAACATCTAGTTAGGCCATATAAAATAAATAGTCTGTTTTACAGGCCTAAAAATGCCTGATTGTTGCCTTAATATTAAATGTACATTAAATTTGTGGTAATGAAAATAAATGCTTTCGCTCGCTCCGATTTATTCGAGTTGAAAATCTAAAAAAGTGCTTATAAATGATAAATAATAAATTCACCCTCTCGCCCTGATTGTTGAAAAAAAAGGCCTGTAAAACAGACTATTTATTTTGTATGGCCTTATTGTGCGTTCGATACCTCTCGTGATTACTGTGTTCACAGGGTTAATGTTGTGGATTTTGTACACATTACCTATTTCAATTACAGCATTGCTCAACCTGATGACCCTATTATCTATAGTGGGGTAAGTCGGGGTGAAAGTGCCATTAAAATAGAAGACGAAATTGGTCAGGCCGTCAACCATACCTTTGTGGTAAGTTATCTTTTGATACGCGCACACATAAGATGATATCATTTTCATAAACAAACTGTCCAGTTTGAATTATCTTATCAACTGAGATAAAGGTCATAGGTCACCAGATAAGGTCGTAGGTCACTAGAGTTCAACAGATAAAAACTTCTTTAAAGTGACCAGATCTCTTAAATTCAGATTTACACTACAATGAAAAGCCTGTTACTAAAAATTAAACTTACTTACTTACTCTACAGGATCAAGAAGTCAACAATAAGAATATTCTACTCTACAAAAGTGATAGACATAGATTTTTTGGTTTTCAAATGAATCTTAGAAATTCAAAATAAACCCAATTTCAGCCCCTTTAAAGTCATGATATTAAGTAAAGATAACGCAATCCCTTTGTGACTTGTGTTACCTTACCATACTTTAGTGTGCTTGGTGGCTGGCTGGCTCTTTGTGGGTGGGACACTTGTAGTTTTTGCATTGTCCCATGCTTAAAACCAGCCAGCCTTGGATGTGACTATGGTAAGCTTTTAGTGAATGGAATTTTAGAATACTCTTGGCTTTTGGGATCTAATGGACACTTTCTAGAGGTTGGAAATCTTTCTTTGAACTCTGTAAGGTGGTACATATCTTTCTTTAACCAATCAGGATGATATATTGTAAAACACTATTTCTTTTTACCAAGGTACAGAACAGCATATAACATGAAATAAAACTCATTTCATTTCATTATACCAAGTTACAGAACAGTATATAACAGGATATAAAACTCCATTTCATTTCATTATACCAAGTTACAGATCAGTATATAACAGGATATAAAACTCCATTTCATTTCATTATACCAAGTTACAGAACAGTATATAACAGGATATAAAAATCCATTTCATTTCATTATACCAAGTTACAGAACAGTATATAAAAGGATATAAAACTCCATTTCATTTCATTATACCAAGTTACAGAACAGTATATAACAGGATATAAAACTCCATTTCAATTCAGTAGGTCATAAAACTCCATTCATTTCATTTTTCATTTCCATTTCATTTCATTATACCAAGGTACAGATCAGTATATAACAGGATATAAAACTTATTTCATTTATAACAGGATATAAAATTCCATTTCATTTCATTATACCAAGGTACAGAACAATATATAACAGGATATTAAACTCCATTTCATTATACCGAGGTACAGATCAGTATATAACAGGATATAAAACTTATTTCATTTATAACCGGATATAAAATTCCATTTCATTTCATTATACCAAGGTACAGAACAATATATAACAGGATATAAAACTCTATGTCATTGTATCTCTAGGTAACTAACTATGGATCTGGTACTGTGAGTCAATCAACACTATATATAGATTGGCCTTATGAAGTTGAGAACCAACAACCTAAAGGCAAACATCTACTATATCTTATGCAAGCTCCACAGGTACGTGTAAACTTTATTTCTTGTACGATTATGCTTTCTTATGCTTCTTAATGTTTATCTTGAAAGTTCAGAGTATCAGGGTAACTTACAGTTGTATTGGCACCATTCTGATTTTCATGGTTCCTGTAATTCAAGAAAATTTTGATAAGATTATGGCATAGGGTTCCCAAGAATTATTGAGATTTAATGGTTCAAAAAAAGAATCTTCTATTTGAAAACCTGTAATTGTAGGTGATGTCTGGCAATGCAGAATGTACATACAATCCCAGTATTATCAACCCAGCTGGCATCCCGGTAAGTGCTAAATCTTTAGGCTGATTAAGGTTAAAGGTCAAGATGGTACTTTCTGGACAGTTCTGCATGGAATAATTGCATCTTGCATGCAAAGTTTTCAATCTGATTGAAATGCAATTCTAAATGTTTCACTTCAGGTTTATTTATGCAACTTCAATTGACATCCATGATCTGACGAAATTTCTATGTCTATTATATTCTGGTTTCATATGATATTCAACCAATTAAATGCTTTATTTCATAAATAATTTTCATACTCTAGTTCTAGAGGAACTCTTTTATTCTATCTGAAGTGGAATTTTGTCAGATCAAGGTTAGGAAGTGGAGACACTTTAAAAAACAATAGGAAACAAAGCATCCAGAACTGCATTTTCATCAGATTGGCAAAATAATTGGTTCTCGAAAATCTATCCAATCAGAACAATAGCATGAAGAAAAACTTATCAGACCCCAGTTAACACCTGTTTTGAATTCTAACCATTGAAAAACAAGTTTGTTGTGTTAATTTGCATGAATTTTAAACTAATTCCACCAAAATATTTTATGTGCCTTCAATGATAAAATTTTTATGTGGTTTATAACCACAGAGTTTTTATGTGACTGAAACAACAATGGAATTTAATGTGTCGGGTTAACACATATTTTATGTGGTTGCAACCATAAAAGGTTTTATGTAGATTATAACCGTATAGTTTTTATGTGGTTGCAACCACAAAAGTTTCCACTGATGGATATATACTGTTATTGACCAAATTTGAGCAAAATTAAAATTTTATGTTAATCTTAAGATGTAGTATCCCTTTAATGTTTATAATTGATAAAATTTGTCACGATTTTTCACTAACCATTGTTGAGTTCATTTGCATGAGTTTATAAACTAACCCGTTAATATTTTACAGGAGAATCCTAGATACATCATTAGACCCAAATCTAATACTGTAAGTTTACAATACTTATCTTTCCTCAAAGAAAGCACAGGTCAAGGCTTAGTAATCTATTAACATATTATTTGAAGGGGTAGGAAGTGGATAAAGGTCCAAAGTCTATCAGTTAGATCTTTCCTTAACGAACGCACTGGCAACAGCTCTCTTACAAGTGACCCGTCTTCATTAGCCCACATGGTGCAGAAAAGTAGGACGTAAAACTCCATTCATTTCATTTCATTTCTTACAAGGCTTGTGGCTACAGGGGGCCTATGCCCCCACAAAAAATGGATTACCACCCTAAAAAAAAAACTGACAAACCATACACCATTGCCCCTCTGGATATATTACTTGCCCCTCCAAACATTCAAGTCTGACTATGGACCGGATCCTTCTGTATCATGGACATGTCTATTTGATTACTCTATTCCAAAAATTGGGTTTGATTCACATTTTTATACTGATTGTCAAGATGTGTATTATATATCTACTAAACATGTTACTCAATTTAAAAAGTATCAAAGTATCTATATGACAAATATAATTTTCCCACCAATATACTCCCGGTTTCCCCCTGTCAGTGATGCAGGTACGAGGGGCTGACATGGAAAAAGCGTCTAGTCGTTTGGATGGGACAATTAACCGAGGCCCCGTGTGCTACAGGCTGTGCACGTTAAAGATCCCTCTACAGTTGGAAATCGAAAAAGAGCAGGCTAATGCTGCTGTCCTGGCAAAATTTCCCTCATTGCACCCTACATGGCGTTGCCCGTCTTCATTAGCCCACATGGTGCAGAAAAGTAGGACGTAAAACTCCATTCAATTCAATTCAATTCAATCCCACCAATATACTGTGAAAATCTTACAATTACAATAATTGCTAGCATGATGTTTATAAAGTCAAATAACCCTTGTTTGATTTGAAATGCATGCAAATTGTGTTTTACCATTGTTGTATTTGATGAAAGCATTTATTTGCAATGATAGACTAAGAATTAGACAAATCTTATTTTCAATATCGGGTAACCTTTGTCATATTATAAGATTTGTGTATTTTGAAAAACAACTCAAAAGACCCAATATGAAGTAAGAATTTGAATGTTTATATATTTTTAGGTGTCAACAACAGGCCTGATAATTGGAGGGGTTTTAAGCGATCCATCTGCTATCAAAGAAAATCCAGAGAAAACAGAAACAGTCCTTCAAGATGCCAGTAAAAGTGAACCAGGGTATAAAATTGGAGGTAGACCTAGGCGCAGTACTGATAGAGTCAAGAGAGCTGAAAAGGAACTCATTTTGGTAAGTTTTAGAAAATATATATTTATATCATTTGCGGAAATTCTGTAAATATATATAAAAATATTGTTGTATACTATTAGATATCTTTTGTATATATGTGGAAGTATTTTTTGTGGCATTTTTTTATTTGTAATGATTGTTAAATATTTTTAATGTGTAAATATTATGGTATATATTAGTTTTATGTTTGTAAATATCATTGTATATTTGTGAATATTGTTGTATATTTGTAAATATTGTTGTATATTTGTAAATATCACTGTATATTTGTGAATATTGGTGAATATTGTTGTATATTTGTAAATATCACTGTATATTTGTGAATATTGGTGTATATTTGTAAATATCACTGTATATTTGTGAATATTGGTGTATATTTGTAAATATTGTTGTATATTTGTAAATATCATTGTATATTCATGAATATTGGTGTATATTTGTAAATATCATTGTATATTTGTAAATATCATTGTATATTTGTAAATATTGTTGTTTATTTGTAAATATCACTGTATATTTGTGAATATTGGTGTATATTTGTAAATATTGTTGTATATTTGTAAATATTGTATATTCGTGAATATTGGTGTATATTTGTAAATATTGGTGTATATTTGCAAATATCATTGTATAATTGTAAATATCATTGTATATTTGTAAATATTGTCGTATATTTGTAAATATTGTCGTATATTTGTAAATATTGTCGTATATTTGTAAATATTGTTGTATTGTGATATATTTGTAAATATTGTTGTATATATTAGTAAATATTTGTTGTATATTATAGGGATGTAAACAAAATACAGCCAAATGTCATACTATAACATGTAATATTGGACAACTCAAACAGGATGACTACGTGACTATCACTATCAGAGCTAGATTGTGGGAGAGCACATTTTTACAGGTAGGATTTTTTTTCATAAATATTTGTAAGCTCATTTTGAAGCTCATTTTTGTACCTGCAGTGCTTAATATAAGGTGGAAAGCCTTCCTATTTTTATAAGCCCAATTAACAGAAAAGCATCAACTTCCATGTGGATTTGATTCTTTCTTAGGTTATGCTAGTATCTTTGAATTTTTTCAACCTGTTTCCCCCCTATCAGAAATATTGGTAGGTGGGTCCAACATGAGAACAACATTTGATCAAATGAGAAAAAAAAAATGAGTCTGTTTGAGATTAAGCCTGTCAACAGTTGAAAATATTCAGGATTTTTTGCAGACTTTAACCTTTCGATAAACTCGTTTGGCAAGAAATGAACCTTTGACAAATCAAAAAAACTAGAATCTGAATTAAATCAGTAAAAATATTATTATTATCTAGAGGCAAATTGTCAAATATCCACAGCTTCCCTTGAGAGATGAAGAGTAAATTAATTTGCTTATGTGCTTTGTATTATAGGACTATCGTAATGTACGAGAAGTCAAGGTCAGATCGCGAGCAGAGTTGGTCATTGATCCAGAATTAAACGTGGAACAAACTGATCTCACTAATGATATTACTTATGTAAGTATTAGACTTGATTTTTTTTTTATCAAAATTCAATATGAGGAAAAACAAATTAATATAGAGATATTATTAAGAACACAAGTTATATGGATATACTACTTCTAGCTTATAACAAAACACAAGACAATATTATGGAATATAACACACTTCTTTAATAAGGTTGGGCACATAACGTTTCAACACAATATACACATGTCGTCATCAGATGTAATGATATATATATATCACTTGTTATTTTTTATATATATATATATATATATATATATATAAGTGGTATATATTTTGTTATGTTTTATTCTCTTGCCATTACATCTGATGACGACACGTGTAAACGTGAAACGTTATGTGCCCAACCTTTATTAAAGAAGTGTGTTATATTCCATAACATTGTCTTGTGTTTTGTTATATGTGCTCCTCGCTTCTATATGTCGTTCAAATTTTTATATTATAACGGCTATAACAAAACACAAGACAATACTATTGAATATAACACACTTATGTGCCCAACCTTATTAAAGAAGTGTGTTATATTCCATAACATTGTCTTGTGTTTTGTTATATGTGCTCCTCGCTTCTATATGTCGTTCAAATCTTATACTTCTAGCTTTATTAAATACTACGTTTCGAAACACATACAGGTAACGTTATCAAGTAAAATGATTAACAGCCAAACTAGAAGTAGTATATCCATACAACTTGTGTTCTTAATGTTTACCTTCCTGCTTCTATATGTCTTACAAAGATTATAGAGATATTATTATTAAATACAAAAATAATAAGCTAAGTTTTATCAAGACTATCCTGCTGTGGCATTTAAAAGCTACAGTCCTACAGGATTTATTTTTTCATCAGCTGTACAGCATTTTAAATAGACAATACCCAACTCATTTTTGACATGATCATACGCCCACATCTCTCTATGTGGACGTATATTGTCCGTCCGTCCGTCAACATTTGCTTGTAAACGCTCTAAAAACTAGATTTTTTGATGGAATCAAATGAAATTCGGTATGTGTATACATATTCATAAAACAAAGATCAAGTTCGAATTTGAGCTATTTCGACCGTTAGAAGCAGAGTTATTGCCCTTGCCCCAAAATCTTGAATATTTACCATCCGCATGCCTTGGTGGGCGTATATGGCTGTGGTCCACTATCTTATGTATATTTTTTGTAGGCTGAAACTATAGCTATACCAGATGTTAAAGTAGCTGAACCTGAGTCTATAGACTGGTGGATAATATTAATAGCTGTATTAGCAGGAGTATTATTATTAGTTATATTGATATTAATCTTATATAAGGTAACGGCAATTATTTTTCATTGGAGAGGGGGGGGGGGATGGGTTGAGGATTAAAAGAAAAATAACAAGGAAAGACATCTATAGAAATAGGAAAAGAAATGCCTTGTTTGAAATATTTTTGAAGAAATTATGCGATTTTCATACATTTCTATTACTTCTATAGACTATTCACATATATTCAAGACTCAAATCAACCCCCCAAAATAGAACTAAGAACTACCCTGTGGCTTTTATACCACTTGATAGGAAAGGTTACTGCAACTGTCCAAAATCTCCCCCATTGAACAGTGCATCAGCCACAAGAAAACAGGAGGATATTCTACTCCATTTCATTTCATTAGTCCAGTAAGTTACAGAACAGTAGGATGTAAAACTCCATTTCATTTCATTAGTTCAATAAGATACAGAACAGTAGGATGTAAAACTATATTTCATTTCATTAGTTCAATAAGATACAGAACAGTAGGATATAAAACTATATTTCATTTTATTAGTTCAATAGGGTACAGAACAGTAGGATATAAAACTCCATTTCATTTCATTAGTTCAATAAGATACAGAACAGTAGGATATAAAACTCCATTTCATTAGTTCAGTAAGTTACAGAACAGTAGGATATAAAACTCAATTTCATTTCATTAGTCCAATAAGATACAGAACAGTAGGATATAAAACTCTATTTTATTTCATTAGCCCAATAAGATACAGAACAGTAGGATGTAAAACACCATTTCATTTCATTAGTCCAATAAGTTACAGAACAGTAGAATATAAAACTCTATTTCATTTCATTAGTCCAGTAAGTTACAGAAAAGTAGGATATAAAACTCCATTTCATTTCATTAGTCCAGTAAGATACAGAACAGTAGAACATAAAAACTCAATTTCATTTCAATAAGGAACAAAACAGTAGGATGTAACACTCCATTTCATCTTTTGATACTTTTTTCAGCTGGGATTCTTCAAACGAAAGAAGCCAGAAGATATGCAGACGTATGAAGTCAAATTTGAAAAACGAAAGGAAGCTGTTGAAGAGTATTATGACTAACTTTACCTCTTTAATTAGAGAGCTATTCTAATATTACGGTTAATTCAACTGTGTCTATTCCATCAAAAATATCAAAAATATGCTTTTCGCTGCAGTCATGGGCTCTTGGTGTATATTGTTAAGTTTTGACAAATTGGCCCGCAGTAAAAAATTTTAATGAAGGTGAATGAAAATTTTTTTGATGGATTGTAATTTAGACACAGTTCATTTGACCATTTGGTGCATTCCATATTATTTATCATCTAATGTATGTGGAAAAGTTACATTTGTTTTGAAATTCAGAGAGTTTATGCAAATTGGTTTTGTGGTGCCTTTGAATTATGTTTTTGTCATCAGTTAATAGCACCAAGGAAACATTTCCATAACAAAATATTTTCATTTGAATCATCAAAATACACTTTTTCAAGAAAAAAAAAAAATGTTTATAGTTGTAACTAAGTGCTGCTGTACATTGCCAAAAAGCTTCAAGTTTGCATTCCTTTTTTCTTTCATTAAAACTGGATATAGTGGACATGGAACAATCTCAAAAACCCTATATCATGCTCTGTAGTTCAGCAGACTATCAGCAGATCAGCAGCAAATATGGCTGGTAAATTTAAAAATTTATTTGCTATTTTAACACCCCTCAATCCTGTTTGAACTCTCCCAATCATGCAATGATTAATCTTGGAGATATATAATGTAGTACAGTCTATTATCATAATAGGGGTGTTTTATTCCATACTTCACTATACCCATTCTTTGCTTTTTGCTGCACTTTGTTAATTTTGCACTGAGTAAGAATATGTGAGTGCAAATGTCATGTATGTTTCTGCTGTGTTTTGTATGCACATACATCCTTAATTTGTCCGAGTTGAAAATAAGCCAAATTTACTTGAAAATCGTTTCCCTTTGTGCAATAACAAATGGATCGTAAAAATTCTGGAAATATTGTTAATTTCACAGCACCCAAAGCAATCAAAAGTTGAAGACCGTATTCTGTTAACAGACGTTTCGATATTTGATTTGATAAAAAAAAATCTGATCCGAAATACTCAGGGATTTTGATTTTAAAAGATTTTGATTGGGTTTTTCTTTCTCTGCCCTGATGAGTACTTATATGTGAAATTTTTAAAAATGATTTACAGACAACTCTAAGGCTTAATTTGCTTCAAAGTGTTCAGAAGAACAGAGGATATTAGGAAATTACCAGCCTGTCATTATAGATTTTTAGTAGAACATGTCTGGCTAATATTTTTCAAATATTATTTAATGTAAGGGGCCAATCATTCTCATGATTAGATAATCTATGTGAACACTAGGGTGCTGAGATGTGTAGACTGCCCAAGCTGCTTCACTTCAAAACCATGATAGTAAAATGCATCTTTGTAAACTTGGAACTTAATGGCTTCTGTTGCCAACCTTAGTGCATGGTGGCACCTTCCTTAAAATCCTCCATTTCTCCAGCCAGTGCCATCAATATCTGCTATCTTCCTGTTTATAAATTCCAATAAACTGCACAATTGATCAGAGAAAAGAGTTAGTTATTAGGTATTGCACAAAATAGTATTAACTTTTCAACTTTACTTCCAGTATAGAATTCTAGATGCAGATTTTTAAAATAATGTTGGTCAAGGAGATGTCTCAGATAGGAAAAGTGTATTTAATCAACATTTTAGTGAATCTCGGCTCCACTGAAAAATATCAACTTGTCAGCTTGTTAACATAATGCCATTTTCTGTTTGGATTTAAATTCGCATACCTAATGATGTCCTTGTGATATATTTTATACTATATTTTGAATATCACCAACATCAGATCTATCTGGGATATCTCCCAATAAACCATTTGAAAGTCGATGGATGTAGAGTTATAGTTAAGCAAAGATATTTATGCATATTAGTCTGATTTAAACCATATAAAAATATACAGACTAATTTTATATTGTATCGATTACTATCTTAACTACCTACAAATTAAAGAGATTGCAAGGAGTTTATGTGTATCTGGGACACTGATAGTATCAATTTGCACCATTCTGAATTTTAATCAGACATCTGTGGTTTCTGCAATTCCATTAAAACTTCAGAAACCACAGCTGTCTGATTGAAAATTCGAATGTTGCAAAGTGATGCTATCAGTGTGCCCGATACACATAAAAAATGTAGAAAACCTCTTTAACAATCCCTTTAATTGACTGTTATGTTTTGAATCATCCCCAAATGTGCACAAATATTTGTGCCCAACTTTGTTTATTTTGTAAATACGTCTGTAAATAATATACAAGTTTAATATATCATACTCCATAATGTTCATATTTAAGTTTTTTTATGTGTTTTTATACCTCTATTTATCCATATCTTAACATTTTACACATTTATTCATTCATTCATTCCATTTTTCTTACTATTTACTACTGCCAGAAACATTGTATTTAATGAATTTGTAAACTTTCCCAACTATATCATATTAATATTTGACTGGTCCAGATTTGGCTGTCATAATGAATCAAATAACAAATGGCTGAACAGAATCTGGCCTTGGTTTCTGACAAAAAATTTGTCAAAAAGGGGGAATTTACATTAAAACTGTATTTAAGACAAAAGTCAATAATTTTCTTGAGAAACGTGTTTGTTTTCCAGCATAAAATGTCTCAAGAGTCCTAAGCATTTGTAATAGTTTTCAGAGAATTTTGGGGTTTTTCATTTCGATTCTTGAATTGAATTTGTTCATAACATTTGGAAGATTGTTAGTAGCTAACATATGTTACATTAACAATTGTCCTTCCGTTTCATTGATCATATTGCCATACAAGTTTTCATATAAAACTGTATTGTATTATTAATTTGTGTATATGATTAAGCGATAAGTGCTTATGTTTGCTTAGGATGCTTTTGGCGTCGCTTTGAGATATCTCTCTCCACATTATATAGCTATTGTTGCGAAAGCTTTGTATGCATATAATATCAGGCAATAATTCTTCATTGGTGAAATCAATTTTATTTTAAAGAAAGCGTTTCCTAAATTTGCATCCATTTTCATTTGAATGGAATTTAAAAAATATGAAAAAAAAACATATTATGACAATATAACATTGACTGAAATGTGTCCTGTGTCTGTCATTGCATGGCAGGACATGCTTAATCTTCTGGAACACCCAACAACTTTGCATGCAAAGAAAAAACATTCTTGGCTTCTGACATAAAATTTGTAGGAGTCTGTTTCAAAACATAATTTTAGTTTCACCTATGTAGAATTAATGTTTGATTTTGTATTTTTGTGACATGATTATTGCACTGTAAATACTTTCCACCTATAGATGAATGAATGAAATGGAAGAATAAAATGGTTTTAAGTTACTGCTCTTCCATTTTGTAACAATTTTTTTTTTAAATTGAGGGATTGAGGTAGTTACTAACAAGAGAATGGCAACACTGACACACTATTTTAGGTGATAGCCAATCAAACAACTTAGAATCTAAACCAGATTAAATTCTCTTGGTTCTGATTGGTTACTGCTTTAAAGTACCAGCACATCGTTAATGTTCATTGTTAATGTTTGTGCTCATCTATGATATTTTGAGAAACAGTATCCTGATTTCAGAACAAGTGTAGTCATCCAAGGATTTATCCAATTTGCAAAACAAAGACATTCCCTCTAGATTGAATTTTTAGATTTGAATGAAATCAAACAGTGCTAAGTAAATCATTCCAGCTTTCAATTAAAAGAATTGTTACACGTTTTAAAATGGACAGATTTTGTTTGACAAAAGGCTATGATTTTGTACGTTGAAATGTTATTATTCAGAAAAATCGTGCTAATATTCCTTACTATTATTTCTTACAAAAGAACCATTGTACACATATTTTTATTTATTTCAGTAAAAATTCAAATTGTTAATCTGAATATATATAATAGTGACTATTTATTTCCAAAGCTATGTTCCTTGATTTCAGAGCTAAATTCCAAAGGTCACTCATATTGTCCTATATCCTGAATATAGGTGTACCAGCAAATCTAGAACTTTGACAACTTATCTGATAGCTCATAATTAATTAAACCTACATGATTCCAGATATTATGAATATACATATTGTTTACTGTGTTATCTCATATCTTTGGTTGTGATTTTGTTTCTTTTTTTATTCTGTTTATTTGTGCAGAAACATCAGCCATTAATTAGGGTTATTTTAATACTTAGCATGAAATACCAAGCGTACTCTTGTATGTATTGAAAATATTGTTAAAGTAGTTTTGTTTTGCTAAAGCTGATAGCATAGTTTAGTTATACTCAATTCTATTAGAATTTGAATACAATTTTGTATCTTTTTTGTTTTCTGATATTTTTAGTTTAAGTTGTAATCTGAAAAAAATTCTACCTAAGATCTGTTCCAAAGGTAGTTGGAAGCGTCATGTATTATAACAATTTTGATAAAATAAGGAATTGTGGTATAGCGAATAACAAAGATGGTGTCATATTGCTCTACTTTAGGTTTCGATATCCCACAATTCTTTATTTATCTAGAAATGGGTTTATGTATTAAGCCCATTGATTTAAACAATTACCTTTGGGTCAGGCCTTTGGCAGAAAACTTATTAAGATTCAATGTAGACAATAATTATTAGAAAACAAAAAAGATATGAAATCGTTATCTAATTTTCATCAGATTAGGTGTAATCGCTAGAGCGTTACAATAGCTATGGTAATAACTTATATTAATTGTATTTCCTTAAAAGAAGTTCATTGTGTCAGTACCTATAGCAACCGTGTAGTCTATATTGCTGTATATCTTGTTAGTTCTATTTATTCCACAGTATTTTACTATTTATCTACCACTATATGCCTTTTGTCAAAATAAAAAGTAATAAAATTCTACTTATATTCATGATTTATTTTTTAGTCGATTTGTATGTTTCCATTGTCATTTCAGCTAACACAGTTTTCATGAAATTGTATTTATGTAACACAGTTTTCAAGAAAAGATAACTGAAAATCTTTTTCTCATTCCATACAGAAAGAAATCAGATTACAGAGAATAATTGGATTATATTTAATAAAAAATTCAAACTATCCGAACTGCAAAAACAAAATCCATGGTGATATATAGCAGCAAATGAACAAATCATATGAGTAAGTACTTCATTTCTCTTCGTTGTCCAGCTTTCATTACTTGAAAGAAAGATTAAGAATCAAGCTTATGTGTTGACTAGTGAACATTTTCCTCATTTTCCATTGAGGATATGTGTCAAAACTGCCTATACCATGGATAGTATCGCACTAAGAAGATAGATTAGACTTTCTCACACTTGATTTGAAAACTGGATATTGGCAGGTAATAGCCAGCATTACATGTACCTCGGAATATAATAGTGTTATAGATTAAGGTCTGTCCGCCTATTCCCGCAATCCAAAAAAAATAATATCCCGAAGGAAGCAAAAACATCATCTGTGTATCTTTTCAGTGAGTGTTCAAAAGGATAGTGGCATCAATCATATTTGCATAGAAATGTCTTAAGTTAAACCAATCCATTTTAATATGTCAATCCACTACCGAGATCTTGTTCTGTTAGCTGAATATTCTGGCCGGATTTCAGAGACTGTTTTGCTTTTTCTATCAAAACACTTCCGGCCACTACTTCCTCGCCTTTTATAATAATACTTTCTTTTCCTGAAAATTCAACGTCTATTTTACACAAATGAGTGCATGAAACGAGATATATATGGATTTTAGGGAGTATCGATATAAAGCAAGTGTATATTTGTGTTGGCTGTTAAATCTCTTATAATCAGAACCGTAGCCAGAATTCCATTTTTCCTTGCCCTTTGTAGCTACGGGACTGCTGATAATCCATAATCTGTTAAGTTACTGTGATCCTTTAGTTTAGCTGCTAAATGCACATTTTTGAATTTGCTCTAATGATAACCGTCCATTACCATTGCTATTGAAATACGTGTCGAGAGCTTTAGATGAGCAGTTGTCAGTTTCATATATCATACCTTGTACAACCTTTATAAAATGGTGCAGCTCATGTCTGAAGGCCTCTTTATAACGTTCTTGAAAGAAATCGACCAGTGGACTTAGTATGGTTCCAGTTGAATTGTGGATTTCTACTGAATTTTCTCGTCTATTTTCAGCCTTTATCATTCCCCTGGAACACAGCACCTTGATTTTTTTTAAACAATGGAATAAGCAGTGGCGGAGCCACTCGCCCCCCTCGCAGCCCCGAAGGCTAGTTTTTCGGGCAAGGCATTTAAAATAAAAAATAAAAAAATTTTTGAACGGCCCGATTTTATATTTTTTTTTGGAATTTAAAAATGAAATAATATCTTTGCCCGAATATCCTATACTATAACTGTATTTTTTTAAATTGATAGCCCGATAGTATTCTCCTATAATAATATTTCATAATTCATATTATTTAAGGATCGAAATCACTGACCGAATGTCATTCGTATGATTATATTTTACATATTTCAAAAATTGAAATCGCAGCCCGAAAGTAGAGTTTAAAACTTTTTTTTACACCCCTGGAATTGTCTATGGTTGCTATGGTGCCACTTGGGAATCTTGTGCCTATCTTGGGCCTATTCCATGCACTTTAATAGCAAGAATATAGGCTACTCATGATTATAAAGATATGAAAAAGGAAACACTTTACTTCAATTCTTTGATCATATCCATAATCAGCACCATGCCTGGAATTGTCTATGGTTGCTATGGTGCCACTTGGGAATCTGATCATAATAGTGGTACAACTGACATCATCACATTCTATGTAGGCATCGTCCAGAGCATGACCATAAACAACAATAGATGTAGGCATTTCTCCAGCCAACCATATCGCCATATCAAAATCATGAGAACAGGCATCGAGGAATATACCTCCTGAAAATGTGGAAAATCAGCTTTTAGAGTTCCAGGAATAGTACCTGGATGAAACATAACAGTTCATTTTTAGTTATGTGAACTACTCTCTGAGTGAGATGTCAAATGTAAGTACCAAAAAAAAAAAACATTTTTTTTTGTGAACTCTCTGTGAAATGTTAAAATGAAAATGTAGACGTGTTGACTCTCTGAAAGTGAAACGTGTCAGTCGCACACGGATATAAGGTGTCCACATGGACATAAGGTTTATATCCAGTTTGTAGGCCTACCTGAGTTTTTGATGTATTCCATGGAATGATATATCGGGTTGTCTCTGCTGGTAATTTTTATTAGTTGTGTTTTACCATGTTTCTTAGACTGCAGTTCATCATACACTATTCTAAATTCTTTATCAAATCGCCTGGAAAGAATGAAATGATATTGCGTTTAATACGGACGAAAATGTAGCACAAGACTGCAGTAAGGTTTTGGCTAACAGTTTTTCGGACTGCCCCATATATTCAAACTCCTAAAAGTTTCATGCCTCAGATTCTCAGGATATTTTTCATAGCTCATTAAAGAAAACAAACCGAAATGCGCATCTTTAAAAGCTGAAATATGGAGTTTTGGCACTTCCTGAAAGTGGGAACATGGATTTTTAGTTAGCTCAAACATATAGGAATAGATTCCCGGGGAGAAAAATTAATCTCCGGGTTGTGCTACAAAAAGTTATTTCTAAGCACATTTATGAGACACAGTCCATGGCTTAAAACGTGCTTGTCAAGAAGAGACCTAACATCAAACGGATTCGGAATTATGTCCTTCTGTTAGTGACATCATTTCCAAATCTTTTTTTCTAGGAATCACAAGCCTCATGCTCAAACTATTGTAATTTCGAATCGTAAAAACTATCAGTTATAAACGTTATAATAACGTTATTGCTTTTAACAACGTCATAGGTTGTCATGGAAATAAACACCGCTTACTACTATTCTCGTGAGGTCGGTAAATGAGAGACTCTTGTATTGACCTACCTCTGAAAACCACACATCAAAGATCTGTGAAATTTCTGAGCTAATTGGTAGCATGTTATGATTGATTGAGTCGACAGAGCCAAAGGTTTCTCACAAAATACATGTTTTCCTGAAAGACAAATTGGCAATCTCGATAGCTGAATTATGACCAAGGATATAGCCTATTAGACTGGACTCTGGCAATCCCAAGTGTAAAGTTTTTGAAGAAACAAGATACCAGACTTGATTGTTCGGAGGGACAAGTAATATATCCGGAGGGGCTAAGCTGCATGGTGCTTAGTTGCAGAAATGGAATTGTTCGGTTGTTAGAATTTTTTTTGGGGGGGGGGGGGGGATTTGTCCCCATTGCCCCACTGTAAGTACGGGCTTGGATATAGCCTTTGGACAGATAATTTCAGCATCAGTTATTATTGCATAAGTGTCATTAGAAATCCGATTTCATTCTATTAATCTAATCTACATGATGTTTGTTATCTAAATCTATTTAGGGTCTACCTACTGACCTGCATTCAAGGCCTCTATTATCAATCGTTCATGTTGGTCTACTCTTGTACAAATAATAATTCCATTCACCCTAAAAGAAAATCAAACAATTACGTGCATTTGGTAAACATTCAGCATTGTAGATGACAAATACATATTTGAACAGAGGTGCTAATAACGGGCTGCTAATTTCTTACAAAAGTTTACCCGTGTCCGGACAAATTAATTTTGCGAAAAGTGGGTGTAAAACAGTACTCTATGTTTGCTACCAGAGTTGACACCTTGCAAAACACAACTTACAGGACCCACGAATGCACTTGCTTATTGAAATGTGTCAACCATGCAAAAACAAACCCCTCTTTACAAAATAGCATAATCCAAAACCAGATATTACACTGTGAAATGACGTCATACGGAGGGGAAAAGTTAACAGACGTGAATTTTTCGAAGTGTTGAAATGTGGACATGTAGACGGAAGAGCAGACAGATGGAAATTTAGTAACGCGATGCCCAATGCTGTAGCCTAGGTAAGATTATTTAAATTTTCTCCGCGGAACATTTTGATCTATTTAAAAAAGTAGTCGAACAATGCCCATGAACTCAACCGTCAACGACAACTTCTACACCACTTTTTGTTCCTCGGGTATCTTTTTCAAGTCGAAGAAGCTGTCGCTAAACATTCTTTTGAACAGGTATAAGAGGAAATTAAAGTGAGATAATTCTCATCTCTTTCATTGCCTGATATATCGTTCATGAATTCATCGATGGTTTTTGATTCTCAAAGATAATAGCCTAGGCTATGGATGCAACGCATCCCTTCCCATGAAATGAAAACTTACCGCTCATCTAGAAGCACCTTATCCATCTCACTAACATCAGCTACTTGAGTCGAGGATAGCCTAAGCTCGTCCAGTAAATCGGTAATATTTTCATGGCTGACTTTGACATCCACTACCCACAGGATCTCTGTAGGCAGTGTAGCCAAATTTCTGAGATGTAACGACCCGATTCGACCACAGCCAAACAGTGCTATCCCTATTCTATTCTTTCTTGTTGGTTCCATTATCTGTGAGATAAAATGAAACAATCAAACTTGTATTAGCGTTAAAGGGAAGGCCTACTCACCAGTGGCTGCTTACTAAAGTGTGTTGACACGCGTTTACGGTCAAGAAAATCGAAGTTCATTGTATTAGGCTTACTGTCCTTGTTTTCTGCTATGTGGTGGTTGTTCTGTCACAGACTTATCAAGGGCATTAAGGAAATTGTCCATGGAAATTTTTTTGGCCCTTACTCGGCCGTCTCACCTAATCTTTCTTAGAAACGCCACTGCATGGGTAACTTTAGAAAGAACCACATCATATTATTATATTAAAAACACCCCTTATACATTCTATCAATCCAGAATACCTTTCAAAACTATCAAATCAAAGAAATGGGTTGGGGAGGTGTTGTTGTAGGTGTACAGTCCTGAGTTTGTGATTGCAAGGCTTCTGCATACTTTGAAGAAGTGATAGGTAAAATTGATTATTTTGTTGTACAATTGATTGGTTTGTTAAACAATTGATTTGTTTCATGTAAACAAGATTGGTTTGTTGTACAATTGATTGGTTTCATGTAAACACGATTGGTTTGTTGTACAATTGATTGGTTTGTTGTACAATTGATTTGTTTCATGTAAACACGATTGGTTTCTTATACAATTGATTGGTTTGTCGTGCAATTGATTTGTTTGTTGTACAATTGATTTGTTTCTTGTAAACACGATTGGTTTGTTGTACAATTGATTGGTTTGTTGTACAATTGATTTGTTTCGTGTAAACACAATTGGTTTGTTGTACAATTGATTGGTTTCGTGTAAACACGATTGGTTTGTTGTACAATTGATTGGTTTCATGTAAACACGATTGGTTTGTTGTACAAATGATTGGTTTGTTGTACAATTGATTAGTTTCATGTAAACACGATTGGTTTCTTGTACAATTGTTTGGTTTCTTGTACAATTGATTGGTTTCATGTAAACACGATTGGTTTCTTGTACAAATGATTGGTTTCTTGTACAATTGATTGGTTTCATGTAAACACGATTGGTTTGTTGTACAATTGATTGGTTTGTTATACAATTGATTGGTTTGTTGTACAATTTATTTGTTTCATGTAAACACGATTGGTTTGTTATACAATTGATTGGTTTATGTACAATTATATTCACCTCCAAAACTCTATTTACTATGAATTATTACCTATAAGCACTTTTATTACCCCAATATGGAGTAGAAAAGAAAGGTGTTTAACTCCATATCGTTTATAGATAAGTAAGAAAGTGTTTACTTACCATATGTCTACTGGACAAAATATTCAAAATAGGGCACTAAACTTATATACAATATTATGATAAAATTATTGTTTACTTACTGGCAGTGTTTGGTTACAAAAAAGTCTATATAAAATGTATCATTTTCCAGAATGGTATCACATGACTCTTGTTGATTTTACAAAGATAAACATGCTTAATGTGGTCGGTTGGTGGGTCGTTTTTAAAACGGAGCTGGCTTGATAAAGATAATGAATTATGCTTATCTTCAATTTCATTCGTGGCTTTAAATATTCTGCTGGTATTTTTGCTTTATTCTCATAGAAGGAGAATATTATGCTATAGCTGAAAAAAATCGGGCTATGTTTTCAAGTGGCAATATTCACTTTCAGGCTAACCACATTATGAAAACTGTAACGGTTAGCTTGTAAACGTAACCGATCAGACGACCCATTCGTTTAAGACACCGTATAAGTTTTAATTCACTTGTAGTCGAACTGAGGTAGGATTTCCATTCTGAGAACTGTTAACAGCTAGGTGGTTAGGTAAATAATACCAAGACTACCCAATTTATTCTCCTTCGATCGGAAAGTTTACGGTTGGTTAACAATTCTATGGTATTAATAAGCGAAAAGAATTGAAAATTCCTTAACAAAGCTGAAATGGTACATATTCATGACAATATTGAATATAGATCATTCAGTGTCGCCGATAGACTACACATGAAAAATTTAGAAAAGCTCTTTACAACCCCTTTAAGGAAAAGTAGTCAAATTAGTCGGGAGACGGAGGTGGAAGGGGGGTTGAGAGCTGGTTAATCGAATCTAGCGCAGGGCCATATATTGAGACAGCTCTGATCTAGTCTATCAGTTGTTTAAAATTCAGTTGCTCCCGGATTCTGTCAGTCGTAAGGTCGACATGACCCCACTAGCGAGTGCATTCTTTGATCGCCTGAGTGGTTCGAGATATTATCTCGATCACTATCTACACTAGCAATTGTCTATCCCCATTTAGCCGATCCAAAACAATTTTTCAATAAGTGGCAACAACGGTCAACTGTTCGACTGACAAACGTAAATTTTATGAGATCGGACTGATCTGAAAAAAAAAACAAAACAAAGTCGGGCCAGTAGTCGTTTTGCTTGAGGTAGTAATAATAATGAATACCAAACCAGCTCATCTTTTATGAAACAACCATGCGTCAGTAAGCAATATGTTATGCAACGTGAACATACTCCTCACTATGTCATACAACATGGCCGTAAGAAATCCAATGGTCCGTGTTGTTCAAGTGTACGGCCAATGGAAAGAGTGAATTTCAGAGGCAAAATAAGTAACTGTTCATCGACCACGCCTTATTGGCATATTTTATGAATATTTAATAACCATCAATAACGAATCACGCAAAAATTTCTAAGCACTTTATACTTAGATACTTGATAATCAATATATTGGCTGGATTGGTTGTATGTTGTATCTCATGTTGATCTTGATTCATTGATCCGTGATACGCTCGAAGCACATTTTTGCCCGTTTGACAACTGTACAAATGTCACATGACATGGTTTACTGGTATTTGACTGGTCTCCAAAGGGTTAATTCGCATTATATAAAACAGCCGCAGTAGACAACAATTAAACACTTTGTGTCGTGAAGTTTCAATCGAGGTAAAATGGAGGTATATATGACCATGTGCTTCCTCGTTTCTAGGATATTATACGTTTACTCGTATGGAATCGGCGCACCGTCAAATGCGTGTATCAACCTTACACCCGGCCATGGAACTTCAGAACAAACCAGTGCTATACCTTATACTGTTTCGCTGTCAAAAACAACGTATGAAGAAAGCGGACAGATCACAGGTAAGTGTTGGGTACAATGGGTAGGGTTAAGGTTGAAAAAGATGGGAAGACACCTGAAATAATAGTTTAACTTTCCTTGGGGAGGTTCTAATCTTCGCCACTCAATCACGAGAAATGATAATCCAACATGCTTGGAACAAAGCTTGAGAGTGTCGTCATATTACCTTTCTTACACCCAGTCGCCAACAGATGACAAACATCTTTGCTTAAGACTGCCATCAATCTACCCTTCTTATTGAGGGGGTCTGACCATCAGCTGATTATTTTTCTTACTTTGACGAGGATCAAACCCAAGCCTATTAGTCACCTAGCAGTCGACGCCACGACTCACTTGCTCCAAAATTAACACGCAAGGTTGGATTAGGTTAGGATGTAGGCATATCTTACCTTGTGAGGATTCGATTTCACCGCAGATGACAATGCAACTCTCTACCGACAGGGCTATTCCACGGCCACCTCTGTAATAATCAAGTAGGCAGTGATTGACAGTCTTCTCGGGAGTGGCCCTAGAAAACTTAGATCGTGGTTAATGTAAGAGTTGATTTATAGCCGACACCAGACCATCCTTCAAAGCGCATATATATGTCCTATCTTGACGCATTCTAGACACAGTCGTTTTTTAATAATTTCAGTGACTGTCGCAGGAAGTAATGCCCATCAGGGTCTCCTTATACAAGCTAGGAAAAACGATGGTTCCACTACCCCAGTAGGTACCTTCGGTCAACCATCAGCTAACACTAAAACTACAAGCTGTACCAAATCTGCAGATTCTTGGACCCATAGCAGCACTGCTTCTAAACAGACATCTACAGCGGTCTGGACGGCACCATCCAGTAATGTTGGTCAAATCGTATTCAAGTAAGTATACAACTCATTGAAAATATTTCAACCCCAAAAGCCCGAGAGAGATGTCCATTCCTTTAACTCCTGATTTCTTCATCTTCAGAGCAACAGTTGCGTCATCTAAAATGGTGTATTGGCTGAATATTCAGAGCGCTGTTGTGGAGTTTTCGTCACCAACTACTACCCAGGCACCAACTACTACCCGGGCACCAACTACTAGCCAAGCAGACACTACCCCAGCATCAACAGATTCACAAGACACAACAGCTACCCAGAAAGCAACATCTCCAGAAGCTACAAATAACCAGGGTGTTACAACCCAAGGTAAACTTTCCCTTGGTACTAGTGCATATTCTTCAGTGTAGTTAGTCTGCAGAAACATAAGTCTTTGAATGACATTTAGTAATTGTAAAAACAATATAAAGACACAGACTGGTGTATGCTAAGCCAAAGTTATAGACACAACTTCGTGGGACAACAAGAACTGCGGCATAACAATTAAACCAGTGATAGTGGTTGTATAAAGCGTAATGTTGGCTATGTCTTTATTGTGTATACATGTATATCAGTAACTTAGTTGTTGTTTACCTTCAATATCTTTTCACCTCATTATAAAGCAAACTAAACGTTTGATTTTTGGATTTGAAAGGATATACGTATAGCTCAATGTATTATATTCCAATTTATTAAAAAATTCAATATGATAATATGATAATATGATAAATATTAAATTGTTGGAACAGTGAAATAAATTCAATTTTTGTAGGTGCAACAAATTCCGTCAAATCGACAGAAACTGGCGGTACGAATACCAATGATGACAGAAATGGTATGTATTAACTATGTTAAAGTGATACTACGTCTTAGAATGAACATAAAATTTAAGTTCTCAAGAATGGTCAATATGAGTATATATTCATCAGTGAACTTACCTGGTGTCATAAAGTTACAACAGAATCCATGTAAAATCTGGAAAATGGGAATATTCATAAAACTAAGTAATTATTGAAAAACGCTTTATCTTGATATTAAGAGGTATTTCAATAGTTAATAGCATATTTATGGATTATTATTAAGTTTTTTGGATTTATCGGATTATATAAGGATCATGTTATGTTATTTATGACACCAGGTATATCTACTGGCTCTTATTCGCCAAGTTTAAAATTCTTCAATTTTATGTTAATTCTACGATGTGTTATCACTTTAATCAACTAATTTGACTTATCTCGGTTTCTTCTTGGAAATAACAACTTTTGTTTTTTGTTTTCGTAGATCATGGAAAGATTAAAGCTTCCGGTTTGTTTATATTTGTTGGCATGGTAACATCAATTTTACTGATCAACAAATATTAATCCATTGTTAGATTTTGAAATCTTTGAGAAAAATACCACGTCAACAAAATCATAAATCAAATGGGTGTCAATGTGAACTCAAACCAACATTTTCCAGTAATCTTCCTTGAACCATACGAAACTACTACAGCATGGAAATACATGAAAAACACATAAACATAGTTTACAACCATTTTGAATCACTAACTCGACTTAAAGTGATACTACGTCTTAGAATTAACATAAAATTTTAAAATTTTAAACTTGGCGAATAAGAACACATATTCATCAGTAGATATACCTGGTGTCATAAATAACATAACAGGATCCTTATATAATCCGATAAATTCAAAAAACTTAATAAAAATGCAATTAACTATTGAAAAACGCTTAATATTATGATTAAGCGTTTTTCAATAATCACTTAGTTTAATGAATTTTCCAATTTTTCTAGAATCTGTTGTAACTTTATGACACCAGGTAAGCTAACTGATGAATATATATTCATATTGACCATTCTTGAGAATTCAATTTTATGTTCATTCTAAGACGTAGTATCACTTTAATAAGTCGAATTTCTGAAAAGCCTTCAAGTCACATTTAATGGTTTAGAAATGACTGGAAATGTGATCTAAAGGCTCAGTTTAAATATTAAAGAATGTTGAAATTCGATTTATTTAGTTGAGGTAGTGATTCAAAATGGTTGTGAACTATGTTCGTGTGTTTTTTTCCATGTAAAAACCATATGTAGTTTCGTATGATTAATTCATGTGACTATTAGAAGGTTCACAAATTCGAGTTCTTGGTTTGGTAATTTTTCATTCATTTTCAAGAAAATATGTCTAAGTCATTAACATTTATATTTTTTTACATTAAATCGGTTAATAATAAGTTTTGTTATAAGTAATGTTATTATACCATGTTTTTATATTTTTTATTTAACGTAACAAATGCATGTGATGCATCAAGAACAATGAAACAACCTTTATCCAAACAGAACGAACACCAATGGACTTACAGCATATAAGCCACTGGTATCCTTAACGAAAAATCTTCCCAGATTAACCAAAAAAATGAAATTGATGGAGTTTTACGTCCTACTTCCAGATAAACCAACAATTAGACCCAAGTTTTTTTAGATTTCATTGTGTTTTTCAATTGAGAAAGCTCTCATATGACATTTTCGTTTTTCAACAAATTTCATATTAAAATATCACAAAAATGAGACAAATATATTATAAAGCCTTTTACCATGGAATATCTCTGAGGTAATTTGCCCCAAGTAGTATAAAACTTAATGGTTTTGTCTTGATTTTCAACATGAGAAGCAGTGTGTATTATACCATTGTTTGTAAAAGTAAACATGATAGATAAAAGTCATTTTAAATACTCATACAGTTAACACACTATCCTAGATTTCAAGTCGGGCTACTGGCAAGTTATAGTAAGTACTCATTACACTGATAACATAAATTTGCAGCATTCCATTTTTCACTAGAGATGTCTGTGGTTCCTGCAATTCCTGAAAAACGAAGTGTTTGATGACGTAAAATACGCTTTATCACAATAAAAGGTCCTTCACAATTAGTGACGTGATCATACAGTTAGTTTTATTGGAATTCAAGGAACCACAGACATCTGAATAGAATAGTGAAATTGAATTCAAGGAACCACAGACATCTGAATAGAATAGTGAAATTGATACCTCTTAACAATCCCTTTTAAAGTAAAGAATAATTCAATAACAAGATGTCTAAGGAAAAAGCCATTTCATAAATACAACAAGCCATTTCATAAATACAACAAACCATTTTTTATAAATACAACAAGCCATTTCATAAATATACAACAAGCCATTTCATGAATACAACATGCCATTTCATAAATATACAACAAGCAATTTCATAAATACAACAAGCTATTTCATAAATATACAACAAGCCATTGCATAAATACAACATTCCATTTCATAAATATACAACAAGCCATTGCATAAATACAACAAGCCATTTCATAAATACAACAAGCCATTTCATAAATATACAACAAGCCATTGCATAAATACAACAAGCAATTTCATAAATACAACAAGCCATTTCATAAATATACAAGCCATTTCATAAACACAACATGCCATTTCATAAATATACAACAAGCCATTGCATAAATACAACAAGCAATTTCATAAATACAACAATCTATTTCATAAATATACAACAAGCCATTGCATAAATACATCATAAATACAACAAGCCATTGCATAAATATATTCATATTCAAATTCAAATTTGAATATCATTTGATGTGTTAAATTCTCAAATGGTCAAGAATATGCCACCTCATTGATGTAATTGAGTCTCCAATCTTGAGTTACATGATAACTTCTGGTTTTAGCCAGTGGAACTTCACATCTCTCCCGCTTGGTTAGGACTCTGGAAAGACATTAGTTGTTGGTCAAAAACTTTCTTAAAGAGACAGATGCACACATTTCTTGCATCAATTATATTATAGTCGTTCCTTTAATGTATAAAACTGAATGTAAGTCCTTTAATTGGCAAAAGCAATTAATTGAAGATATATGAATAAGAAAAATTAAAATAAAACTTGTACCTTTTTGCTGTATTTCTATCTTTATTGACCTCAAGATCAACTAGTAATGGTGTGGTTACCATGGCGCCTTCAGGAGATCTTGGTCTCTAAAAGAACCGAATTTCAAATGATTCGGTGCTTTGACAAACAACACAACCCAAGTGAGTCATGACAAACAACACAACCCAAGTGAGTCATGACAAACAACACAACCCAAGTGAGTCAACAAGAAGACAGAAAATTAGTACAGAGACTTATATTTCAAATCTTGTTACCAAGAGCTGTAATAAGTATAGTCTTCCAGAACAACTTCCAAAGAGGTCAATATAGCTTATATTGGTAATTTGGTATATTTTTTATGCTTAAATAGTACCTTTAGTACTCTAGTATTATATGGTAATTCCAGGAACAAGGAATCATGCTTCATAAAATACACAGAAATCAAATTGTACCTCTCTCTTGAAGCCAACATAGAAGAGTTTATTCCTTAAAGTGATATTCTTCCCCTTCACCAGAGAAGGTAACTCTGATAACTTCACAGTTTGACGATGACGAATGATCCTCTCCATTCGACGTTGATGCTGCATTGCTAATTTGGGGAAGACTAGATGATCTCCTTTGTCAATCTGGACCATGATTGGCTGCATTAACTGAAGTCCAGTTTTAGCTGTTACATCATTACATCTGGATGAACAAAAAAGGTTATTAAAATATATAAGCTTAGATGAAAAGAAATGTCTAGGATAATCTGCTTTCCTTTCAGAAGTCTTCTATGGATCACCTGCCTTTTTGCAATCAATGTGAACCCATGAAGTTTTTCTGTTTTCAAGAACTTAGCTGCTGTTCAGAAAGAAGCCACATATCCTTATCCAGAGTAGCAATACCAAACAACAACAAGCAAACAACAACAACAGTTCAGAGTAGCAACAAACATACAACGACAGACCAGAATAACAAAAAACCAGAGTAGCAACAAACAACATCAGTTCAGAGTAGCAACAAACATACAACGACAGACCAGAATAACAACAAACCACAACAAACCAGAGTAGCAACAAACAAACAACATCAACAGACCAGTGTAACTGCAAACAAACAACGACAGACCAGAATAACAACAAACCGGAGTAGCAACAAACAAACAACAACAACAGTTCAGAGTAGCAACAAACACACAATGACAGACCATAATAACAACAAACCATGACAGCAACAGACAACAACAAGCTAGA